CATGCACTAGAAATTGCTGATGCTCTACCTCAATCAGAGCTGGAAAACTTCATAACTGTTTTCAGTAACATACTCATTGTTTGCAGCACCAATTAGCAGATCTTTCCCTAGTAAACTTCAGTTCTATTCAGAACAGCTAAACAAGGCTTTCACCCTTCTTTCTGTGAGGCTGCTGATGAAGAACACAAAGGACCTTTTCCCCTCTCACCCCAACACACACACATACATATTTCAGGCCTATATCACAATACCACTGATAGCTATACTTGTCACTGATCATAGTGCCACTGAAGTTCTAGAACAAGGCAATACAAAAGTTGTACTATTTACAGCTTTAAATATTGTTCTTTTCCTTAAAAACCAACAAAACAAAACAAAAACAAACAAAAACCCCACAGAAAACCCCAAACAAACAAAACAAAAAAACCCAACCCAAACCACAAACAAAGCAGATTTAAGTGCAAAAGGAAAGTATCACATAAGGTGAAATTTTAGGGCAGGTCTAACCACAAAGTAATAGAAAGATCCACAACAGAAGAGAAATACAATTGTAAATAAAAAAATATAAAAATCACTGACTACACAAAGATAACATTTTACCCAGTACGACTAAATATTATTAGGTATTTTACTTTTTTTGACTCCAACTTGACTCTATAACTGTTCCACTTAACAGTTTTGCTGCATGGAGATTAAGCCTTGCCTACTCTCCTCTCAGAAAAGAGGGGATGGGAGGAAACAGCAAAAGTATCCAGAATCACTGCAATTATGTCTGGTCAATAATACCAAACGCCTAGAATTAAGGAAGACTTTGTAAAGCATGACAACAAAAGAACCATTTCTAGTCTCATCAGACCATTAAAAGGCTTTAACTGTTCATCTGCTGAAACCAGAAAGGCACTTCCTTGGCTAATACAAAATTGGCTAACTTTCTTGACCTCATAATCTAAATATCTTATCTGGCTAAGAGCCACAAGATGACATGGTCCAGAAGACCTAGACGACTTTTGTGGGGTCTCACCACATCAGTATAAGGCTGGGCATGGTTTGGATTAATACGTAAGAAGCTCCAAGCCAAACTAGTGATAAAGGTCCCCACTAGGTAACTGTCCCCACTAGGTAACTGTATCCCATAATCAGAGATACAGATTACATGGAAGACTTAATTCCAGCATTATTCCATGTAACCCAGCTGCAGAGTTGACAGACGGCAAGTAATACATCAGCTGTTCCAAATCCATATACCATCTAAGTGCAACAGGTTGGCCATTCTTTTACTTTGAAGCCTGTCTTCAAATCAAGATGAGATGTCTTTCTGTAAAGGCAAAACATACAGAAAATTCACTCCTTGCTTTTAAAAATATTAGCTGGTCTGCCTCCAGCTTCCCCCACCCTGACTGGAGAGCCTATCTGAGTAGTCATTTCTGCTTTCCAAAGGAACACAGAATCCTAGAATGGTTAGGGTTGGAAAGGATCTTAAGATCATCCAGTTCCACTCCCCCTGCCATGTGCAGGGATGTCTCACACAAGACCATTTCGTCCAAGGTTCTCTCCAATGTGACCTTGAGCACTGCCAGGGACAGAGCACTGACCACTTCTTTGGACAACCTGTTTCAGTGCCTCACTACCCTCACAGTAAAGAGCTTCTTCTTTATATCTAACCTGAACATACCCTGCTTATCCCTTGGTCCTGTTGCTACAGTACCTGATCAAGAGTCCCTCTCCAGTATCTTTGTAGGCCCCCTTCAGATACTGGAAGGCTGTTATGAGGTCTCCCCATGCAGCTTCAACAGAATTACTGCTTTATTTATTTATTTATTATTTTACTTTTTATTTTTTTTCTTTTAAAACTCAAGACTGGGCTGCATAAGCAAAACCAGCCTGTCCATCAAAGGAAATGATTACTCCACTCTGGTGCCTGTGAAGCTACAGATGAAATATGGTACATCCACTTCCAGGACTCGGGTCCAGTGGAGAGCCACCAAGACAGTTAAGGGCTGGAGAACATGACAGATGAACTGAAATTACTGAACTGAATTTGCTAAGTGAGGAGAACTAATTGCTCTCTTTAACAACCTACTTGGCATTCATAGAGAAGACAAAGCCATACTATTTTCAGAGATGCACAGCACACTGACAAGCTTTGCAGCAAAGTAAATTCCAGAGCGATACAGAGAGAAGTTCTTCACCACAAAGTTTATTTAGAGTGGTTGTGGAATCTCCACACTTGCCAATTTTTGAACCTCACCTTGACAAACCTTGGAGCAACCTAGTCCAATTTTGAAGTTACCATCCTTTGAAGAAGTCAGAGTAGATGACCTCTGTAAGTCCCTTCCTACCTAACTTACTGGTTTAACTTCTACATTATTTTAAATAATTTTAAATTATTTTAAATCATTTTGTTCTTGAGCCAGACTAATTTTTGTGCCTTTTCCCAGACACCTTCCTAATTTTTCAGTATCGTAAAAAAACGTTATGGACAACAGGGCTGTAACCTGTGCTAAAACAGAATCCACATTATCAGTATAGCCCAGGCAGATTAGTAGGAGTGAAGCATATGATATCATTACTCTTTCTCTGCATTCAAGAATTTCAACCCCTCTACATTAACTTTTTATTTGGGACCTTTTTTTGTCTCCATCATCCCTACTTAATTCCAGGGTTGGGGTTCCTGGTAAGCAGATATATTCTATATATTCTATAGCATTCTATATATTCTATAGCATTTCAAATATAAGGTATTTACACCAAGCACCCTTGTTCGAAACCAAGTAACATTAAGATTTTATTTAATAAAGTCTTACTTCTGTTAAACCAGATCAGCATTAATTCTAATAATATTCTTTTACATTTACTGACTTCCTCAGGTGCCCCTCCATTATTTATCCCCAAGACTGATGAGAGAATAAATAGCTATTTGGGTCATCCTACTTGACGTTTCTTAAGTAAGCCTTCGAGGTCTTCTGGAATTCACAATGTATTTCCCTTATAGGGAAAGACACCTCAGAAAATAAATATTCTCAGCCAATTCTTTCAGAACTCTTGGGTGCAAATTACAAAGACCTGTTCATAGCCTTTGTTAAGAAAGGTCTATCATGCACTCTTTAGTATCTTCCTTGTAACTTCTAGATTTTAAGTACCGAAATCACCTGCAAGATATTATAACATAGTCTCACTTTATTTAAAAAAAAAATCCAAAACTTCTCTTTCACTTTGAATCATGTTATTGTTAAAAATTGAGAAATTCTTTTTAAGAGTAATACAGGTGACTAGTCATGGTTTTCTCTCAGCAACATTTTTTTCATCACTTTTCTAATTTTCATGCCTTTCCTACTCTTCCTTGTACTTACACTTTACAAAAAAGGAGGAAGGGGTCCTGAACTGCTTCATTCACTCTGCAATGAAAGCAAGACAGATTCTAATCCATAAAGGCAGAATTTGCCCTTTATGGACCAGCTTTATATAGTTTTTAATGGTGATTTCTAATGTCATTTATTTGGGGAAAATCTAACATAAATATATATATATATATTTAAATAGTTTCTCACACACACACTCCCCCACATAACATTTTTGTAGTTTTTTTACTCTGGACATGTATATAGACCAAACTTCTAAATGAAAAGCAGAACTGTATCCTGTATTAAATCTTAAGTTACTACTAAAACAAACTTAATAAAGGTACCAAAATAAATTAGATAATTACAAAAAAGACTCACTTGGCCCAAGTTGGTGGCATGCAGAATTTTACTCTGCCATATCAGTACTTAAGTATACCTTTATTATCATTAAATTTTAAATTTCCCCTCCCCAATACAACCAGTAATAGTTCTCTTTCCTGCTCTACTTACATCTTTTCTGTTAGCCTTAATTCACAGTCCATTTCAGAATGGCTTCAACACTTTCAGACCCTACTACTGCCATTTTAAACATAAATAATCTGTTTATTTTGCTCATCTACCTTTTTAGCTTTATTCTCTTTGATTAATCTATTTTTTCCTTCAACCAGGCAAGGCCCACCTACTGCCAGTTTCACATGCCTACCTTGAGCTGCTGCCTGCCTTTTAAGTAACCATTTCCTTGAACTGTTCATGCATCTCGAATTATCTCTCTGTCTCTAGCTCAGAGACTTCTCAGATCCAGCCACTTTCTTTTACCATCTCCCCCATCCTGTCAAAATTTTGATTTGTAAAACAAAAACAACTCACCCATGTTTGTGCAGAATTAGCACATCTGCCTCATGCAGTCATTTCATGCACTACATGCATAGCCACAATGCAGTATATTATGTAATTAGCAATACTGTAATTTAAAATTTGCTGCTTTAAGGCAAGTTTATCGTCTTCTGAGGGGGGAGATGCGACAAAAGCCATATTCTGATCCGTTTCCCTATTTACAAATACACCTTTTCAATCTTACATAAATGCACTTGAGAATGCGCATTTCTGCTAAAAGACACATGGCCAACAGTTCAACGTCCAATAATTAACAGCTTTCCCATCTCAAAAAGAAGAGAATTCAAACTACAATCAAATGATGATGTTTCTTCATAACACCATGATGCCAAAAAGAACACCAGTGGTGGATTCAACCTTCTTAACTCGGTACCCTTATCAGGGATAAGTTCACAGTACTGCTAAGCATCAACTGGTGTCACTATAGAGACAGTAACAGTAACAAACGAGTACAGGTTTGGGTTTGAACCAAACAAACACAGTGTCATTAGCAGCAAAAATTACATACTCATATTTCTACTCATATTTCTGATACTTCTAAAGTGATCAGTTTTACTGAAGTAAACAATAACTATTAATGTTCCTCTTAACAACAGCAACCCCAAAACAATTACAGCAAGAACAAACAACTTCCAGGCCCCCCAGAAAACACATATTTGAATTTATTTCATGGCATTATGCCAAAGTGGGGATGGACACCTCAGTGGAAAAATAACTTCAAAGGCCTCTAAAATATTAATGCAGAACACAAGTTGCTTCTCTTACCTGGTGAGAAGGTGTCACGTGCAAAATGAGCTTCCTCCTGTGAGTAAGCCACTGACATGTAGCTCATTTGCATAAGTATCACAAGCTACAAGTAGACTTCCAGGTCGGCCATCTTGATACTAAGATCTTGTTTTGTTTACATAACAGCATGAGTACTATTTTTTAGCCAGCCTGAGCTATGCTGTCGTACATCTCTGCTAGTAGCCTGCATCTGCTTGTTAAAGCCTGCTGGAACTCCCACTTCTCCACACAAGTGGCTGAAGGTGCCAGGAGTGCCCCTGCAGCTCACTGAGCATGCCACAGCCTCCAAGGAAACGCTGCAACTGCAAGTGCCTCCAGTCGGACTCTTTGTACTGCCTTCTGTGCTGCCAACTATTAGCACTGCAGCAACTATGTGCAGTGAAGTACCTCCCACATACCACACAGTAGTACCAACAAGCATAAATTTATTACAGCACAGCATAGCACAAGACAGCACACTACAAAGGAAAGAAAGAAGAAAGCTTGAATTTCCTCACAGGATTTTCACTTACTAGCAATCTAATTATTTTGTGCATCTTTTCATTTTCATCAGCATGACTCTAACAGTCCAGAAACCAGAGTGCTCCTGCAATCCACACACAGAAGTCCATGACACATGTTAGGTGCTGCCGATGCGCAGCCAGACTGCAGTTACAGCTAGCTGGCGCCAGTGAAAATTTACATAAAGGGGCCTCATTTCAGGAATCAATTGCAGCAGAATATTGCTAAGCAAAACCTCTCCCTGCCAGACTACTACGGGTTCTAGAATACACCGTAATAGTTACTTGCTTACTAATAATCCAGATCCGGGCCAGAAGTCAGCTGCTGCTCTTACTGTTCATACAAGCGAAAATTAAAGAGTCTCTGCAAAAGAAATTCCACTTTGAAGCCTGTTCCTAGTAGGATGTGTTACTGCACTAGTCACAGCAATTTTGGTGAGCCCTCTGTAGTAATGGAAATAGCATTAAAAAACGGGTATGTGCGATGCTCAGCAACCAGCTTTTCTTAAACTGATACTTCCATTATTTTGCAACTTACCAATAACCAATACCAGCTACAGGTAAACTAGACCCATTTTTAATCTAACGCTGATGGGTAACATGTATGGCCATTTAATTTGCTGCTTCCCCTTCACATTCATTTATTTTCTTCGTTAGATGAAACAAAGCAAAAAATCAGGGCCATGGACTTCTACCTTCTTTAGGTAAAAGGTACAGTGCCAAGTAGAGGCAGGAGCTTGGATTTCAGCCTCACTCTGATGTCAAATAGGTAATTTCTTCATTCTAATTTTTTCCAGTCAGAGTCCAAATACATTAACAAATATACTTACACGTTATAAATACATATGTTCGTATGATATGTTAATGTACTTACAGAAATTACCTAAGTGCTTAGTCTCAAAAAACAACAAAACCTAGGCTTTGCTTACTATTACGTGTGCATATGTAAAGGATGAATCATTCACCAGTACCTTTTTCACCTCATTTGCTGCCTTATAAGAAATTTTTACAACATGCAACAAATCAGTGCAAATAAATGTACTAGTTATTATACTAATTGTAAACATGAATTTGTGAAACCTTGAATAAAATCGCATTAAAGCCACAGAAATGTCTGACATCTAGCAAAACACTGCTGCAGCTGCAGCTTGGCACCATTTAGCGGTAAGTGATGGGAGACTGATGCCTGTAGGCTCCTGCAAGGCAAACACAGGGCCTCAGGACCATAAGCGCCTGCTTTTCACCACAGGCCTCTTCTAGTTCTCTACACTGTTCTCTTCAGAATGCCAAGTGTCAAGCCTATACATAGTCAAATCATACCTCCCCTTTTCCCACTGTGAGTGAAATTTGCTGTAAGGCTGGTTCTAGGTTATTTGAATATAACAGAATTTGCTCGTCTGTAATGTCAAAAAGATACTGATTTTTTGTCTGAAAGTATTTAAAAATTGATCCTCAGCTGTTGTATCCAAAAGCCTAAAGTGATGTTTAAGGGAAAAACAATTATTTTCCCAGAATGACTGTCACATTAAAATGACAACCATTAAGTCTACAACTGCTCTGGTATTGCATACATTGCGTCACATGTATCTTTTATTTAGTTTCAGGCAGATGCGTGTTATGTTAGCACATTTAACCACTGTGCAGAATACATCTTCCAGTGATGCTGTTGTCATTTACAGAATGAAACATCAGATGAACAGCCTCTGAGCTTAAAAATGAAGGGCACCAATGCTGCTTTAAAAGCAGCAGACAAAACCCCCACCAAAAAAAAAACAACACTGTGTTTCCTACATAAAGGCATACCTCCTCCCCACCTCCACACCCTTGTGCACAAATACCAGAATAACAATATGATTTCTCAACACAGAAAAACGGATACTGCAAAATAAGAGCCTTTCACGTGGATCATGTTCCATCCTCGGCTCCATTCCTCTCAGGAAAGTCCAGGCCAGAGCTTCCAGATACCCCCACGAGCGAGCTCTCCATCTGCCGTCTTAACCAGAGGGCTTGCTAAGCCGCACACAGCTGCAGCTGCCCAGCTCACCCTGAGGACTAGCACAGGGATCACTTCAGCTGCGGTTATGGGGTATTTGGATGGGGGGGTAAGGGGGGGTGGTGGTTTTGTAGTGGTGTTTTTGTGGGGGGTAGGTGGTGTAGTTGGTTTTGTAGTGGTGTTTTTGGGGGGGGGTAGGTGGTGTAGTTAGAGTCTTCAGAAGGTAGAATAAGCAGTAGCATACTCCCATTAAATTCCCAGTAACTGTCATTACATACAATGTCTTCCTGCCTACCCCATTTGAGCATTGTGTCAGTGCTTTGCCTTCTCCAATCCAGGGAACAGGACTCTTACGCCAACACATGCACAATTTTTTAGTCTTTCATCAGAAGTGCCTTTCAAGAGCAGATGTTACAGTCAGACACAGTATGGCCAGTGGTGTTTGAAATAATTACCATTAGCTGTATGGTTTCAGTTGGTACATAACAATGACAACATCCTCAAATGTAAGTTGAGTCATCTCAGAAAGGTATGGAAAAGGCTGCCACAGTGACGTCCGCAATTCACATGCAATTCTAGGTAGGAAAGCATTTGATGGATAAAGTTCGTCTAAAATGAAATAAACCAAACTACCTATAATGAAATGTCTCACCAGTAGCTTGATTAAAAAGAATAATTAAAAAGAGGAAGAAAAGGAAAAAAACCCACACCTACCAGAGCAGAACAGATTAAAGCCCCTTGGCCTTCTGTAGGCAACACACACACATCCAAAACACAAAACACCCCCTTTCTCCAAAGCATGAAACACAACAAAAAAATTACATAAGAGCCAGAGCTTTGTAGCTCCCAAGTTTTTCTCACATTGGTCTTTGAAAGACACACAAAATAATGTTCATTTCTGAAGTAGGGAACAGACTTACCAACCCATTACCGTAGCCAGTGTGGTTTATTTCGATAGCTTTACAGCAGGAGCATGTATCAACAGAAGGAGCAGGGAAGGCAGGAAAGGGAAGGGGGGAAGGACTGGCACAAGTTCTATCTGCGTTTCTACTGTAGGAAAGGGACAGAGTGTAAAATGAACTTCCAGGCAGTAAGTTTAACCGTGCACTCCCGGCCTGTCCTTTAGAAAGGGAAAAGGACAGTTTTGACTCCCTGTCAGCTTAAGAAAGAACCATATTTTTCTCAAACTTCCATGAATAATTTTGTTATTTACTAAACAAATACTGAAAACCCAAGGATCTTAACCTGCAGATCAAGATGATGCGGAAATCAGCCATTTGCCTTATGTGCAATTCCTCTGAAGACAGAAAATTTATAGCTAAAAATAAAGATCCAATTTAACTGTTTAATAATAGTTATAATGTGATTAAGTATTTAAGATTCCAAACAGTTCCAAGTGCTTGGTAATAATTTATTTCTACCACCTAAAGAACCAAACAAGTCAGCTGTTCAAAAGTGATTTGCATGCATTGCGCAGGATTGCATTAATTCAGCAGTCCATTCCAGTTCGTTTCAAATCCTGCCTGAGATTGCTCGCTCCCAAAATACCTACCAAAAGAGAAGATGCAGCTGTGCAAATTTAGACAATTCTGAGTTTTAAGGGAAACATAAAAAATAACCAAGCCATGTTAGAATGGTTCCAAGCAAATATGATTTAGTAACGAAAAACTGGCCAAATACTTGGAGCACAAATCAAAACAAACTAGAACAATCCTCTTATGATCGGATACACGATTTAGCAGAAAAAAAAGTGAATCTTGTGAATCTATACAGTCCTTCAGAACAAACTAATGAAGTAATATTGGGTGTCTCACTTTGAAAGCCTGTGTGAGACTGCTAACCCATTTGTAATGCATTTACTTCTGAAAACTTACCCTTCCAGTTCACTTTTAAGCAGTATAAAGCTAATTGTTCTAGAATGCAGCAGCTCTCAGAAGTGGAAAAAATGCAGACACAGGAACATTGAGCAGAGTCTGACAATGCATCTCAACATTAAAAATGTATAGCAGTCAATTCAGTTGAAGTCATTAATTATACACAACTATTTCTAATTCAAATCATGAGCATCTAATTTATGTATTTAATAAAAACTCCCCCTTTTGCCCCCTCTACTGAAGTGCCTTGTCTCTATGCAGGTAAATCTGTATTTTTAATTTTCGTTTTGACTGACGAACAAGTTATTAACACCATGGGAGGGAAGACAGAAAAGATCACGCTGTCAGCCTCCAGTACTACTGTAGAGTGTACTTGGACTTCTGGAAACAGGGATGCGTTTCATACACAGCACTGGTTTCAAAACCTACTAGACTTCATGCATTCCAACACCCACTTCAGGAAAGAAAAAAGAAACCCAAACCACACCACCCACCTCATACAGCAAAATGCTGCAGCTCCCTTCTGGGCCAGCCATTTTGTTCAACATCTTTTGAAAATGGCCTGTTAAAGAGGAAAGTAAACCAAAACCAGAGGGAAGGGAAGACACTGACAAGAGCTTTCCTCTGAACTCTGGCAATCTCCCTGTGACTTTTCTGTAATAGGGGAGGTAAGGTTACCCAGCTCACAAAAAAAAAACCCATGGGCAACAAATGGTACAAAAAAAGGCTGTATGAAAGCCACAGTGTGAATATACAGTATTTTACTCAAACATGATACATGTGAAGAACTACTCTTTACAGTAAATGTCAAAAAATAAGCTATTTTGCTTTTCATGTACCCAGTAAAGAGAGGATTAAAAAAAAACAAAAGAACTTGACAATTTTTAAGCCTGCTGTTCTACAACATCTTCATGTGATCCTGAAAAACAAAAAAGGCAAAAGCAAAACAAAACAATAACAAACCACCACCCCCCCAAGCCACAACAATCAAAAATACACAAAAACCCCAAACAAAACAAAACCCCAAACAAACAAAACGGCCCAAACCAACAAGAACAAATCACCACAGAACATGTTGGGTACAGTATGTTTTCGACATAAAATTTCATCCCCTTCAGTGAACACAGAGTAGGAGTTCAGTGATATTGTAAAAAGTGTTTCTGCATGCTTTGAACGATATGAGTTAGTAACATCTATAATTAATCAATAACTGACCAAAAACCACACCAACACAAACCTCAGTAATCACTGTAAGACTGGTGTCAGGATGACATAAGAGTAAGTATTTTGCAGAAAACCAGAAAGATTACTGTTCGGGGGATGGGAAGGAAATCTCATTACATTATCAATCTGCATTCATCAGATGGAAGTGAGCGTATGGCAGAAGTTCACGGTTTTTTCAAAACAAATGCATGGAAGTAAAATTTGTTGTCGAAGTTTTCAGACATTATAAAGTGCCCAAATTAAATGTTCTCAGGACCTTAAGTATCCTGCCCAATAAAGAAAGCCCACTATGAATTAAAATCTGACACTAACGAGAATTCCACTAGCAATAAAGCAAATTATGTGCTACTTACCTACCTGCATTTCCTCATAACCTGGGACCACACACTGTCATTATTTCTGTCACTGATCTTTTATCCTAATGCAGGAAAACCCCATGACTAATTACAACTCACAGCTCGCTCAAGTCAGAAGTCAACCTGGGTTAACATCCCCTATTTTACCGATTTTTTTTATAGTTCTTCATATTAAACACACATAATAAACATGGACAAACCTCATCTCCTGAGAACCTGATCTGCCTAGAATACTTCATTTCTTTAAAAGTAGTGTATTATCATTAACTATAGAAGATCATTTATGGGAACAGGTAATTTAAAAACTAACTTAACAGTGAAGTGCTTGGCTATAGCGTATGCTAAAAGCACCAAAATAATTGTGAAAAAATACTGAGGAACGACTAAACTATCACGTGTTTAGCACCAATTTTCACATCCTTAGCACTAAGTTCAGCTCCAGACAGGAAAATAACTATGAGCTACATCCTGGTGAGTTAACCAGCTCTGCTGCTCCTTACATGTTTCTGGAGAACCTGAAGTAACTCCTTATTTAACTACTCTCAAATTAACTCCTATCCATCTTAAGATCCCATAAAGACCTTAACTAGCATTTCAGACAAACACAAACCAAGAAAATAAGTCATGAGAAAAAATGTCTTCTTTCTCCCCTTCCCCAATGAAAAAAACACTGAGCACTACTTTTCTCCCACTTTCATGTCCCTAGACCCGGACACCTATTAACTACTTTTTAATGAGTGTTGAACGACAGCTAGGTCACCAACCAGTAATATACGCAAGAAAAGACCAGGCCATGTTTAAACCACTAGCACATTTTGAAACTCGAGATGTCAATTAAGCTATTAAAAAAAATAAAAAAAATACTTTGAAACTTTACATTATATCATTTGTAGCAGCTCTGCAGAATTTACACAAGTGTTATATTTGAGTAGCAAATAACTGTTACCTGTAGAATAGCTAACATTTACATTACCATTGGAATCCAGTGTATTTATGCAGGTTTTGTAATTCTTACCTACCGCTGGAAAAAGTTACATGTTGAAAACAGGATGATCAAATGTAAATTTAACCACTTGATTACAAAGATGTAACAATGATTATAAACTGTTTATATTTTAGTTAAAGAATGTGGCAAGCTATTGAGAAAGGGCAGCATAAAGTGAGAGCTCTTTTGACCTGGTAAGGGAAGAGCCAAACTGAAATAATTTGATTGGCAAAACAGATGGCATGACCTTCGACCTCTCCAATGCCACCCAGTGTACTCTCTGAGAAAGGCTAGAGGTCTATGAATTACTTCAGTGATGGGGGGAGGGAAAACAAAAACACACACCCCACCTCACCCCCCAAAAAAAACACAACAAAAAAAAACACAAAACCCCACCAAAAAAAAAATCCTGTTGACAATAAAAGACATCATTTTATGCAGCTTGTAATACCTCATTTTGTTTAAACAAACTTTGAAATTCTTTCTCAGCAAAACAGAGCTGGTGCTTACCTCTGTTACCTCTAAGATCTGGCGCATGTGATACCAACAGCTCTACTCATTTGCATACAGCCAGGCTAAACTGCTGCAATGAAGAGCACTTCGCCAGCCATTTTGAAACTGCACTGTCTCAGCTGCACTGAAAATGTGATTTAAGATGGCTGCAGTTCTTGCCAGACAACTCAGCAGTGGATAAAACATTTGTATAGCAAAGCACCTCCCTCTTTGCCACACTGCAACAAACTGCACAGGCTGGGGGGGGGAGGAATGGTTTCTTGACAGGCAGGAAAGTGTTAACACACAGCTGCAACACTGCACCTACTCAGAGCACCACTGGTAAAGAGAAAACTGAGAAAAATCTCCTGTCACAGAGAGGCCGCCCTGCTAGGTCTGTGATCCAGGCAGGAATTGTACTGCATACTTCATATCCCTGCCGACTCCAAGCAGTTCAGAATCCATGTCATATATTAACAGCCACAGAAACAGAGCCAGATCATGCATAGAACTGACAAACTTCAGGGAATACTTCAAGAGTAGCCTCATTTCAGTCTTAAAAAAAAATTAAAAAATCTAAAACCTGTAAGAAACTGATCTGGCCCTTTTTACAGCACCACCTGTTTTAAAACACTCTGTATTAGTTGCCCAATAACAGTTTACTTGGGGGGGGGGGGGGGGGGGGGGGGAAGATAAATTTTTAAGACAGCTAGCAAAAGCCCAAGAATATTCCAGAACGTGTCTGTAGAAATCAAGTATCTAATTATTTATGAATTATGTTGAGTATTTTTTTTTGAAGACAGCATATCTAGAATCCCTTCAGGAATTTGCTGTGAAGGGAACAGAGGGATTGTCAAACAAATACACAATCTTAATGCATTCAGAACTGAATATGATACAGGTTTCTCTCTAGTTTCTGTCCATTAACATAAATCACGCGTTCCTGTCCAGGAAACAGTAGGTAGTTCTGGAGGGAGCTCCTCTGAACCTGCCTCACTTTATCATGTGCACCTCTTTAACAAAATCCAAACCCAGCTAATTTTAAAATGAAAGAACTGCAGCAGTATATGGGGCAATCCTGAAGGAAATTAAATGTTGAATTATTCCTACCCTTCTACCAAAAACTAGTCTTTGTGATCCAAAATGAGATCAACACAGTAAGCTCCCCTCCCCCCACAACTGGAGAAAATGTGCCCTCCACATACTTCTTTTATGAAAAATGTCTGAACTTACATAACTGCATGTCTGCTGCCAGCTGTAGCTGGTTATTTCAGGACTGATTAATCATGCTAGCAGTAGTTGTCTGATGTATACATCAGCACCACTGTTACTATTTCAAATTTATAAAGCGTTGCTATACATCACCTGGCTTTTCCTTTTGTCCTTCTATTGACATGATTTGCAACACAAGCAGCACATGCCACAAACGTATAAACAACAACATTGATTATTACTGTCTTTGGTAATACTGTACAGAATCAGAAGATGAAATTAAAATAAGCTTGAAGTTCAGATATCCAAAATACAAGTCTCTAAAACAAATTTGTGAAGACTGGAAAACAACTTTATTACAATTAGTTTAAAATTACCCACTACACTGAAGCTTTTCTTCACAAAGGCCCATTACTAAATCAAATTTATAATGAATTTGAAAGCAGTTTTTTTCTGTTAGTGAGTTACAACTCCATGTTGCTTACTCTAAATTTTCATATATAGAACACCTTCAGTTTACAGGGATTTACAGTAATTTAGCATTATTTAAAAATTCAAATGTAGTACTTAATTTGTATGACAAATATACATAGACTTTGATTTCCACAGTAGTGATGCTTTAAACAGAAGAGAGTTCTATATTTAGCACACCTACAAAATTCCTACATCAAAAGGTGAATTCTGACATGCAGTCCTAGAAGTTCTACAGAAACTTAAGGAGGTTCTAATCTGGAACCCAAGACCTGCACTGGTACAACACTACATTCTCTAACATTCAGTCTTTGAGCTTGATATATGGAAACTCAATGACTTAAATAGGTTTGAATTGAGAATACTTTGAGAACACTTTCAGCAAACCAGAGAAAACAAACCCATGTGACAATCCAGCTGCTGCAGTCAGTCGTCTTGTCAAAAAGCTTCATGAATATGCAGTGGTACTGATTTCTTAACCCAAACTGCAAAAAATGTAACTGAGTGGTAAGAAACCATATATATATATTCACTCAACAGTTCACTTCCATATAGTTCAGTTAACAAATAGAGTGTTAATAGGTTAAAAAATATTAACCAAACCCATTTTAAAATAAACCCTGATGTTTAATTAAACAGAAAATTAAGACTGAAATAACTCATCTGAGAATGCTTAGGTCCAGGAAATACATATTAGTGTGGGGCTACAACTTCTTGTTTCTAGTTACAGTGGCACCTACACAGGTCCTCTAAACACCAAAAATAAGTAAGAAAATTGGTAATTTTAAAGGGAGTCACAATGGAATTTAAGCATAATCTGCTATGTTTAGATTTCTATTAAAGTCATAACAAAAACTCCAAACAACCTTAACTCTGCCCCCTTCTAATGACATGCTAACATGTTGCAGTAGCATCTCAGCAAGTTCAATTATTCTAGTCATAAGTTGAATTTTAAAATAGTCCATTTTCTAACCTTCTCATGAATATCAAAAAAGAAACTCAAGAGAATAGTACCCTGTCATTTCTCCAATTGTTGTCTGTATAAATAATATCACCCCCCACCCCCCTCTTAAATATTACACTGAGTCAGACTTTATACTGGGGCTATATATAGGAAGTCATGGGGAGGCAGAAAATTCTGGACTTTCAGACAGGTTTTTATGTCATTTCATACAACAAGGGCAGCAGAAAAGCAGCCAAAGCATAAATAATTTTTCACTCAAATCATGAACTTAAGAAACCAGTCTGCTACATATCATCCCCATTTCCTTTTCGGCAAACCACATCCCATCCACTTTTCTCATTTGCCCTGTTCTATTTGTTTCTTTGCTTTAGGTTGTTTTTTTGTTTGTTTTTGGTGTGTTGGTTTTGGTTTTTTTTTTTTTTTTTTTTTTTTTTTGGGGGGGGGTGTTGGTTATTTTGTATGTTAGTTAATAAGTGAACAAAACAGTTCTTACACTGATCAAATTCATGGGAGAGACTACTATTCTTTGTATGCATCTGAAGTCTTAATAGACCAAGTACAGAAACCTCCCTTTACTCCTACTATATTTACACAGGCCAGCAGGCTGACTTCAAGAAACATCTCAACTTTCATTTAGGACTGCAAGGACTTCAAAGATAAAAACAAACCACTGGAGAAAAGAGCAAGCCCATGATGATCATGAGATAAGGAACATTAGAGTCCAGAAAGTCAAAATCTGCACAACATCTGATGACTTCTCATGATTTGAAGCCACTTGATGGTAGGACCAATGAAAGAAAGTTTTCAGTGTTTGGACTGAAGTTGGCAAGCATGTATTTCCATATGCTAGTTAGCTACTAAACACATTTTGAGAAGACTTACAAAGTAGGAGAATACAACATCTTTTTAAAATGACTTCTGGAAACTGCAGTAAATTGGAGACAAAGACAGAACTTTTGTGTCAGGGTTTGGTGTGATGTGTTTTTTTGTGTCTGTTTGTGGTTGGGTTTTTTTTGTTTTTTTTTTGGGGGAGGTTTTTTTTTTGGGGGGGGGGGTGTCCCCCTCCCCTCCCATAATTTCTTTACACTATTTTGAAATGGAGGATAATGCTTAGACAGCACAAAATGATGGAGCAAATATACAAGTTATTTTAACGGCTAGCTGACATATTCACAGCCATTCATAAAAAACGGTGCTTTGAATTTACTTCAGAGCAATTTCAGAAATTGGATCTAAAAGAGAAAACCAATTTTCCTGTTCTAAAAGTATGTAACTTATGTGCAGCAAACACGCTCTATTAGTTTACGTAAATATCTTAGAAATTATTAAAACGCTTTGCACACAAACATTTGATTTACTAAGATCTCTTATGATCTGATGTTTGTTCCTAGAAGAAATAAAAGCTGGTAACTCATGAGTAGAGTTTTTAGTCACCCATAACACTCACAGCTCAAAATAAAACATCTTAAGGTGTGCAGTGCATTGTTAGTTTGTTTGGCTTTGTTTGTTTTTTTTTTTTTAAGTTATTTATAAATCCCAAAGGAACATAAAGGGCATTTATACAATATATGTACAAACACAGAGTGTTCTGAATTCCTTCACAGTGATATGGTGGAAGCTGACATACAGCCGAGGATCAGAAATTTATTTAATACCACATAGTTACTATTACACTTTCAGTTACACCACCAAGGAATTGTTACCAAAAACCAAAAAAGGAAGGGAGGGGGAGCAGATCTGCTATTAAATACACTGGTGATTGAGAAAAGTATACATCAATGGTACTGAACAAGGTAATGAGTGAGCAATGGAAGTAATGAAACCACATTTCCTGCAGAATTATTGTCTTGCTACTTCTTAATCAGAGTAACCTCACATTATCATTGGTGCTTTACGACGCAGGGCAAGTGAGTGCATACACACGTCCAATCTGAACGTTGCATGTTGCTGTAACAGCTTCCATACTGCTTTGACAGACAATACCCATGTCCTGACTTGCAGCAAGTTACCCTCCCAAAACAATGTGTAACTGCCAGGTTCCCTCCCTGGGAACAATGGTAGCTTCTTCTCACCCCAGATGCTTGTTTTCACAAAATTCGAAGGAATTAATTCTCTTTGACACTTACTACTGTTACATTTACTGAAAACCAACAAGTATTTCAAGAATTACTATGGATAGAGCAATTGACAAACAATGTTCAGATAAAATTGTACTACTATGCTAGAACTGAGCAGATTTCGGATAAAACTTGTGGGGTTGTGATACAATTAAACATTTTTGCCATATACTGTTTTGCAGTTTTCTGCTTAAGCAAAAGAAGTTGTTAAACACATTTGTTTTAGTGGAATTCCTAAGTGCCATTTAATAACTTTGATCATGCATTTTTTGTTTCATGCAGGCATTTATTTTTCACTAACAGCATTTTTTTTTTATTACTAACATAACATCTAATGAAAATACAAAACACGAAGCCACATAAACCTCAACTGTAGTTGAAATTCTGTTCTCAACCTTGTGTTTTTTTTTTTTTTTCCATATATATGGACACAAATAGTTAGGACAGAGATAAGAACTACAACATTAACCAAAATCAGAATATGCAACTAAAGACAAAAAACCCCAACCAAAACAGACTCCCATTTCTAAATCACAATTCAGTTGTATGCACCCTAAAAAGCTAGAGTTATGCTTTGGTTTAATTCAAACTTTACCATTCTGAAAAGAAAAAACCAACAAAACAACAAAAAAACCCAAACCCCCAACAAAACCACTGATGCATTCTGAAGATTCAGTTTCTGGATAACCAGTATCATATCAGTACTTTGTATTTCTAAAATTGATCAAAGTCACTTTTATATGCTGATCTGTAGACTAATACTGAACTTTAATGATCAGACGGTTCCAGAGACTTAAGCTTTCTACATAGGAACTCATGGATTTTCTGATCCCCGTTGCTACATAAATAGGGAAGGGGAAAAAAAAAAACTAAGGAAAAAACCTAGACAAACAAAAAAGGCAAGACACCTAAAGACACTATGAATGATACACATAATCTTTTCAGGTAAATAAAAATTAAGATTCCACATCATCATGCAAAATTTTGCTTTTGAAAAAATATCCAGAACTCAAAGGCTATGCTCCAGATCCTCGACTAAAAATCTCAAATCTAGACTTCAGTCACCTTTGGGATCACACGCCAGGCTTTAATATCTAAACCAAGACTGAGGAATTTTAAAGTATTACTCAGTTCACAGGTAAACTTTATTCAAAGAGTAAGGCATTCTGCAACTGTCCAACTTAACAAAAATAGCTGATTACAGGGATGACTTTAAAGAATCACGTTCTCTCTGCTTGTCAAAAATAAAATCAAGGTTTTTACACAACAATCCTTCTTAATCTTCATCCTGTATTTGGCTGGGTAAGTAACTGCTGTTTGACAAACAGTTTTGTAGAATATGGTAGAAACAGAGTGTTTTTTTCATATAATACAGCATGTGGTACAAGGAGTATAACTGAAATAGAGTCACAAATATACATCATGAAAGCATCATTTGTGTTGGCCAGTTTATGAGCTCCCAAATTTTTTTTTTTGTGTGCAGGTACACCTCTCAGAGTAATGTCACATGCTGAGGAAAAGTAGAGTCCAACCATAGTTTTTACTGAAAAATATTAACACCATGGATATCACTGAATTTAAGAGAAATATTACATAAAAATATTTGGGAGGAAGAAAAACCCAAACAAACCCCTCACATTCACATAATAGTTTTACAACTTGTACCTGATTTTCCTCAGCTAGTACCCCTTATGAAAACTGTGATGTACATCTGTGCCACTGCAGTAATTTCCAAAATAAACTCACAAGCACATAATTAGCCCACAGTATAGAAAAACACCATGTAGAGAATAAATTAAAAAAAAAAATTATGCATTCAACTTGCAAACTATTTAAGTAAGAGCAACTGGTAAAGTATCTTTTGGCCTTACTATCTGCATTACATGAATAACCTTGTGATTTTTGCCATAAATATAATTTCTTACAGTAAGCCTACATAAGCCTAATCAATGATTATACTATTAAAAGCATCTAGATGGGGAGGAATTTCCTTTTATTTTTGTTTGTTTGTTTTGGAAAATGGAGTTCTGGTTAGTCAACAACTTCACTGAGGAAATACCGTCTGTATGTAACAGGAAAAAGTGCCTCCTCCCAAAAATCTCAAACGCAGTGAAGATGAGGATTTAGTAACTAATTAGGGATCAGTTACTAAAATAAGACCTTTTAAAATTGCTTAACCTGTAAACTGTTTGTTTACTGCAGATTCTGTGAATCAGTGTCTAAAACTGACCTATCTTTATTCATAGGCTGTTCAGTCTCTTGGCTAGCAAGATCACCTCCCATGCTGGGGGGAAAGTGTATGTCTATGATACTATACTATATGGTACTATATGATACCACATTTCATATCTTTATGCCCCAAATGGAAGCATTACTAAAGGAGCTTTTACAGGAAACTAATTTACTACAGTTAATATTGATCTTCTAAATACGTGAAACAGGTATAACAATACAAGCTAAAGCAGGAGGCTTCAGCAAATACAGCAGAAGATAGCATGTATGAGTATCTACTGGGATTAGCATCTTGAAAACTGACTTTGTAATGGATAGAAAAGGAAAACTAAGAGATCCCTCAATAAGAGCATCAATTTGACTGTTTTAATTGATGTATGTAATTATTGCATCCTTGTATTAATCGATTATGTTAGGATCAGTTTAGAGCCTTCACAACATTCAAGATGGCCTTGTTAAAATAATTCATACAGAAAAATACCACACTGTTCCACATTATCACAGGAAGTATCAGTTCAGCACGGCTGTATTTGGTAGCAAGGTTGCAGCTGATAAAAAGCCTTTACTCCAAGCAGTGTAATAAGCATACTAAACTAAGAACGTAACAATGAGAACACAAAGATCTCCTGAGATTCTTTGAAAGAGAACACACAATGAACAGTTATCTACAGCGACAAAACAAGTTTTTCTGTATTTTAATTATTTGACATTTATTGAAAAGTGTATTGCTCTCCAAAATTGTCAGTACAGTTCCTCTCTGAATTATATAAAGATAAGAACTTGATACTTCTGGAGCATAGAAAATAACTGCCAAATCTGAGGAATAAATAGTGGGTGTAGTTGCCACAATTCCTGAATTGCGCAAGTGCTCATGCAATCATTAGTGAATTCATTTTATGATGGACCTGACAACTACCATTAGCCCCACTTCAGAAATCTGAAAAATGATAAATTACCTGCTCAAGATCACGTATCGAATAGCAGTGGGGCTTGTGTAATATTTGAGGTCATAATCCCCTTCATACCTTCCTGTAGGACTGCACAAACCAGTACCTAATCAGAAAAACATACTTCCTTCTTACACTGGTATCTGCTGCTTGCTGTCTAGATGCACAAGTGTTATTTTTCTGTGACTGCATGAAGGATGCAGTTTTAAGCTCACTGACCGTTACCTAGATTAGTTGAGATATTCACCCCTTTATTTTAAGATAATATTTTTCCCCATCAGCAATTCCGTTCAATTTTCCCGCCCAACAAGTCCCTCTGTGTTAAGGGTCACACCGAAATGACAATATGTAGATGTATTTCAAGATTACTAGTATGCAACAAAATATTCTAATGCAGGCATTTCCACTGGGTACCTGTCAGAGGTTAGGAAATCCAGTAAGCCGCATATACATGAAGAACTGCTACACTTCCAGCAGGTTACCATGTGACATCAGCATTAAAGTGTGAAATGCTTAACCACGAATACAGTCTCCATATTGTGAATAATTAAATTCAAAGAAAATGTGCCTTCTTTACACTGATATACTACTTAATCTGTTAACATTTGCCATTTTGTTTGACATGGGCCTTCACGACAACCTGGAGTTGCCACTCTGGCC